TCCACAAAAAGCGTTGGCAAATTCGAAACGGTTGTTTCATCCACTTCCCCAAGTAAGCGTTTTAGCCAGATCAACTCTCTCGATGCGAGTGATGCCGCGATGTATTCTGATTCAGCTGTCGAGTGTGACACTGATGATTGTCTTTCAGAACACCAACTTACTATCCCTTTTCCAAGTAATAGACAGAACCTGTGGTTGACCTTCGTGTTTCGGTACAACCAGCGTAATCGGCATCACTGTAAATGGAAAACTTCGAATTGTTAGCATTTTCACTTGAAAACAATATACCATAGTTGCTGGTTCCTTTCACTGCTGTCACATGAGCATTTGTGGGTTGTTCCATGAATCGGCTGACGTAACCAACAGCAAAACTGATATCTGGTCGAGTCTCAATTGCCAGATAAATCAGAGATCCAACCACTTGTCGATACGGGAACTTCGCGTTCGATGCCTCCTCTGCTGCCTCCAACACTTGCTGATGATTCACCGGTGTTGCCACAGGATGTGAGTCTTCGAAGCCAAACTTGTTCAACACCCGGTGGTGTATGATGGTTGACTCAAATGTATCGATCCATCCGACATTCGATTTATTTCGAGTCCAAGAAAGTAGTTGGCATTAAACACTTTAATTTCGAAATGTGTTTGTAAATACCCAATGACTGGCTGTATGCACGACTCGCTCGTGGAAATGATTATACTATCGTCGACAAAAATGGCTAAATATGTTGTATCGTTGCCACTTTTTCGAATGTTAACACATGCGTCCGCCTCACTTTCTTTAAATTCGAAGTCGGTGATGAACTTTTTAAACTTTGCATTCCAACACCGTGGCGCTTGCTTCAATCCATATAGGGTCTTCGTCAGCCTGCACACTCGATTCGTGCCGTCTTCAAAACCGATTGGCTGCCGCATATACACCTCCTCTGTCAAATCGCCGTACAGAAAGGCTGTTTTGACATCGAATTGTTTCATAAACATTCCTCTCTCGGCAGCAATTGCCAATATTGTTCGTACTGAAGCAAATTTCACCACTGGGCTAAATGTTTCAGTGTAATCGATTCCATAACACTGTGTGAAGCCGCGCGCCACCAAACGCGCTTTATAACGGTCGACTGCGTTTTTTTGATTTCGTTTGATGCGAAATACCCAGCGATTATCAACTGCACG